GTACGATCTTGTCCCTCACGTGATTGCTCAAGCTGCCAATGTTTCTAGAAATCCCAAGAGTACCCCTCAACAAATATATTATTTGATTGGCTATATAAAGACTTGAATACTAGGAGAGAAATCTGCTAATTAACGAAATATCCACGCACAAGCGGTTTTCATAAGCTTTCATATTCTTAAGTAATTGTTCTTAAAATAATTTACATATTCAGGTTGTGTAGAAGCAATATCATTGTAAACAAAACTTGTATTCAAACAGTTATTTGATTTCGTTAAGGGATCGGTTAGGTCTGTATCCTTAAGAAGTCTAGGACTAGTGTGTCTAAGAGGCTGTTAGTCACTTGCGTGTAGCTTATGCAGTGTAATAATCAGTTTGATTGTTGTTTGATTTTCCTTAAGGGACCGGTTAGTTTTGTATCCTTAAGAAGTATATGATTTATATGTCTTAGAGGTTGTTAGTCACTTGCGGGTAGCTTGTGCAACTTATAATCGTTTTGATTACAGTGGATTAAGTTCTCGATTGAGAGAGGCGAAATCACTTTGGCAGATGGACTAGACTATCTTGATAGTTTTCAAGTGAACTAGTATAAACATACCTTGTTCTTTACTTCCTGTTCTTAATTATTGTTATTATCAAGAGTGAAGGAAAACATATTTTAGTTAAAGGGGATATTTTTAAAAGAAAAGTTTTGATTTAAAACCCAATTCAATTCCACCACCCTTTCTCGTGTTTTTCACACCTTCACCTTGGACTCCATCTCGAATGGTTACCATTGTGTTTCGCTCTGAACGCGTTTCTACAGAATTTTCTGCACTGTAGACACTGCTTCCCAGCTTCCGACAACTGCTACTGCTGATGTCCAACAACTTTTTCATGTCATAATTCTCCCTTGTGATCATAACTAGAAGCGTGTTATCATCACACACCTCTTGTCTAGCTACCTTAGCTTCATCACCTTGATTTTCCTTTGATTTTTCATTATATTCTCTTGCGAAATGCCCAAGTTTATGACAATTGTAACACTTTACACCACTCTTGTAAATCTTTTTGGTGTAGTTACCTTGATCACCACCTTTGGAGCTTCTCTCTCCCTTTTGCACCATCAAAGCCTTTGAATTTTGTGACTCTTTTCCATCAACATTATGAGAATTTTTCTTCACTTTTGAAGATCATTTTCCTTTCGATCTCTTGTTCTTCTCATCGAACCGTGCTTGTAACGCAATCTCCGCTTTTGCCTTGTCATTTCCTCTTTCATCCACCATTTGTTCATGAGTCTCTAATGAGCTTTGAAGCTCCTCTTTTCCCATTGTGATAAGATCCTTTGATTATTCTATTGCAACCACTATGTTGTCAAATCTTGTTGTTAAAGAATGCAAGATCTTTGGTACCATATTTTTCACTGTTACGGTTTCACCGCAAGACTTCATTTGATTCACCAAACGCGTTATACGCATAATGTAATCATTTATCGCTTCCTTCTGTTTCATTTGCACTAATTCGAACTACCTCTTGTGAGTTTGTAATCTCACAACCTTTGCTTTATCAGCCCCTTCATAAGCTTTCTTCAAGATCTTCCAAGCTTGCTTCGCTGACGTGCAATCTCCAACCTTTTCAAAGTTATCATTGTCGACACAAGAATGTATCAAGAAGAGTGCTTTGTAATCTTTCTTCTTCTCTTCCTTGAATTTCGTTTGTTGTGCAGTTGTAGCTTCTTCCCCAAGAGGTGTAACTCCATTGTTAACGGCTTCGAGAACTTCTTGATACCCAAACAAAACTTTCATTTGTTTGCACCATTTGTCATAGTTCTTGGAATAAAAAATTAGAAGGTTGGTAGGGATTAAATCACTGGAAATGGTAGACATAATTTTTAGCGGGTTAATGGATCAGAACCAGGGCTCTTGATGCCAAATGTTAGAACATACACAAAATGAAGTTGGTGAATTAATGGTGAAAAGTGGTTAATTGGAGAAGACGAAGTTTAGAGAGAAAAATAGAGATTATTAGAGAGAGAGAGAGAGAGTAATTGAGGATAAACTCATAAAATGGTATTAATCAAAACACATTATATATGGGTTTATATATGATACAACCTAAAAAAACTTTGGAACCAAACATGCCCAACAAAACAGCAAAAACACCAAACAGTCACACTGGAAACCGGTTTCCAAAAACACGAAAATCAGTTTCCTACTTAGAGTTGCTTAAAAACTTCCTCCAATAATAATACTACCTCTTGCTTAAAAGCTTCGAGGAGAATAATAACAGAGATTACAACTCTAACACAGTCCAACTCACAACCCGAGTGGATCACGCAAACCAACTCTCATAGAGAGTGGCACAATGACAAAGTCCTAATGATTCTACATCCTAGACCTGTACAAAAATATGTTACAAACACTTCTATTTATAAACCTTTTTCCAACTGGATTTGGACTTCAAAAACACAGCAGAGAGACTGCACAAAGTCTGCAAAAACTTCTCCAAGAAAATAAGTATTCAATCATAAATTTCCTAAAATGTCTCCATATTTAGAAAGTTTAAATACCTTGAAAAATCAACATAAATCTCTGATTTATCAATCTTGGACGCCACATAGGATTACTAAATACTCCATGAATATTCAGTAATTAATTCATAACAACTGAATCCAAACTGTCAGCCGTAGCAGACCTGATGTCCTATACTTCTAATTAGGACATGCCATTTGACATGTTCCAACAGTAAATTGAAACATCTTCCAAACTGTAACTGTAACCGACCAGATGTCCTGCTCTTCTAGTTAGGATATCACCTTCGACATGTTGAATCTACAAGTTGAAACATCTTATTTAAAATGTTAATTTTACCAAAATGAGAAATAACATCTAGGAAAGGAAGGAAAGTAGCAACGTGGAAAAGAAACCATCAATAACGTATATGCGCTTTTTCTAAAAGATCCAAGGAGCGCTTATTTCCCAAAAGCTATTTTCCCCTCTTATCTTCCTCATGTAACAACAACATCATTACACTCAAATTATTCATCTATTTTTTTCAGAACAATCGATAGAACAAACAACCAACAATCAGATTCAGTTTTCTATTTCAAATTGTTTCAATTTCGATTTCACGGTTCTATTTGAGCTTCAGGGTTATTTGTGGTGTTCACGATGGTTTTCTGTTCAGAATCGAGTTGGTACTCAGTTCTATTTTGGTTCAAGTTTGGAGGTTTCCACTCTGTGCAGAGTTTGGATTCGAGCAGAGCTTTTTCACGGTTTAGATTTTGCATTTGAGCCAAGTTTTTGGTACAGGTTTGTTTCGATTTCAAATCAATCTTTGTTTCAGTTTAGAATTTGATTTACGTTTTCTGTTCAGAATTGGTTGGGTTTTGTAATTCTTGCATTTTTACAGTTTCGACTCAATTACGAGTTCTACTACAGTTTAATTGTGATTCGATTTTGGTGCAAATTTTGGTTTGAATTAAAATTAAAGCAAGTATACAATATCATAAAGCTAAACTGGAAGAGGGCTTACCGGTTGAAATGAAGAAAAATGCAGATTTTTTCCTCGCTCAGAAGGTGTTCGATGAAATGTCTCAACCAGATTCTTTCTTCTTTTTGCCAACAATAGATTGTTTGCTTTGTGAGGTGATAGTTTTGAGTTTCTGATCTTGTTAGTTGCATTGTACTGTGATTTGTATTGTAGATGCGATTCGCCAATTGAAAATCAATAGTAATCGGGAAAGAGATGATTCGGCTCAATCGATGCCTTATTCGGATCGACCTAGTAACCTGACTGCTTGTATTATTTGTTTCCTTTTCATGAATTATTTTATCTTATTGGTTTTATCGTTCGTAGTTTAGGTAAAAGTTTATCATACTTTATTAGATTTCAGGTTACTCAATACGGTGAAGAACTTCCTCGGAGAGTAATGTAGCCTGATTTGTTTGCTTCACAGTGTTTAGATTTCAACCTTTTTGTCCCTGTTTTATTTTATATGTTGATTAAAACGAGATTATTAGGAATTTCACGGCTCTATCCAACTTATATGTTTTGCAGTGAGATGAAGTCTCTTGAGATCTATAACATTTTTCAATTCTCGATATCATGTATGAAGGCTAGCTTTTTGACTTGGTGATCTCTATGAAATTGTTTTTCATTATCTATACTTTTTCTGGTTGTAGAAATACGAAAAGTTTTTATATGTTTTATAAAGAATCTATAAGAGGTATTTATAGACTATACATCTGTTTAAATAAAGGTAATTATTCTCCTTATAAATACTAATCTAGTCATAATGAGCTGTACAGGAATGAGCTGTACAGGGAAGCAGCTCATGATGAGATGTATGATATTCAACATATTCTAGTAATAATAATACTAATATTGCAAAACTCCCTCTCAAGCGGAGAATGGATATCTATCATCCCCAACTTGCAAGTAAGATCTCGAAACCGCTCCAAGGGAATTCCTTTAGTGAGCACATCAGCTAACTGGAGTCCTGATGGGACATACTGTGTAGAAATAAGACCACTATCCAATTTCTTTTTGATGAAGTGTCGGTCTATCTCTAAATAATTTGTTCTGTTGTGTTGGACCGAATTGTGAGCAATACAAATGGCAGACTTATTATAGCAGAACAATTTCATAGGAGCTTCATATTTTATTTTCAAGTCATCTAGAATGATCTTCATCCACAACAATTCACAAACTCCTTGAGCCATGGCTCTAAACTCTACCTCTGTACTTGATCTGGCAACTACATTTTGTTTCTTACTCCTTCATGTCACTAAATTTCAAACCTAGAAACATACAATATTTAGTGGTGGATCTCTTGTCAATAATCGACCTTGCATAATGTGCATCAGTATAAACCTCCATAGATAATTGCTCACTTCTCTTGAACAATAGACCTCTTCCTGGGCTCATATTTAGATACTGTAAGATTATATCCACTGCCTGTAAGGGCTTCTTCTGTGGGTCATGCATGAATTGACTAACAACACTAACCCGATAAGCTATGTCAACCCTTGGGATTTCCCACAAGTCTTTGGTATTGAGCTTTATCAACCCTTGGGCTTTCCTGATCACTCCCAATCTTTTGGTTTTGCTCTATAGGAACTCTGTTGGGTTTACAACCTAACTTTCCAGTATTTTTGAGAAGGTCAAGGACATATTTTCTCGGAAAAATGAAAATGCCTTGTTTGGAGTATGCTACCTCCATACCTAAGAAATATTTCAACTTTCCAAGGTCCTTCATTTCAAACTGAGCTGCCAACTCCTTCCTCAAGTTCTTCTTCTCAAATCCATCATTACCTGCAATGATTATATAGTCTATGTAGACTAACAAAATAGTGAGTTTACCATTTTGAGAATTCTTTATAAAGAGAGTATGACCACATTGGCTTTGTTTATAACCCAAAGACACCATAACATGAGTGAGCCTCCCAAACCAAGCCCGGGGTGATTGCTTAAGCCCATATATTGCCTTCTTTAACCTGCAAATCTTATTACTTCCTGAAGTAGAATCATATCCGGATGGAATCTCCATATACACCTCTTCCTCCAAATCTGCATTCAACAAAGCATTTTCACATCAAACTGTTGCAACTCCCAACCAAAGTGAGCTGTCAAGGAAAAAATGATTCTTACAATGTTCATTTTTGCTACTGGAGTAAATGTCTCTTCATAACCAATTCCATAGGTTTGGGTGTATCCCTTTGCAACTAGCCTCGCTTTATATTTGTCGAGTGTGTCGTCAGATCGATATTTTACCGTATATATCCACCTGCAACCCACTGGCCACTTGTCATTGGTTTCTCAATAATCTCTAAAGTCCCATTTTCCTCTAGTGCATTCATCTATTCATGGCTTGAATCCATTTCTTATCCTTTCATGCTTCTTGTTCTGATGCAGGGACTCTAATATAATCAATAGTTGAAATAAAACTCTGATGATGCACAGAAAAATTTCCAGTAGACACAAACTGGGATATAGGGTATTTGGTACAAAACCTTTTTTCTTTTCTCAAAGCAATAGGTAGGTCATCAAGGTTTAGCTCACAAGAATTACTAGGCTCAGGGTTAGGAACACTTACCTCAGGTTCAGATGATTGGACTTGTTGGGGCTGAACAAGTTTACCTTTCCACCTTTTTTGCTGGAATTGTAACTTATACATGTCAACATTTTAATGCACCGGTATTGGTAAATCATCACCATCCTCATTAGGCATCAAAGGCTCCTGTATTACAGGAATAACAGGAAGAACAGACAATTCAGGAGACAACTCAAGGTCCTGTATTAGAGGAATAATAGGAAGAACAGACAACTCTAAAGACTCAGCTTCTTGATTATTCTCCCCTTGAAGTTGAGGATTGGGATAAAAAGACTCTGATTCCTAAAAAAGTAACATCCATGGATATATAGACACAATGACTATGAGGATGATAACACTTGTACCCCTTCTTATCTGAAGCATATCCTATGAAGATACATTTAATAACCCGAGGATCTAATTTACCCCGATGAGGACCATGAACATGGACGAAGATAAAACAACCAAAGACACGATTCTGAAGACTTGACATAATGGGCGTAGAAGGAAAGAATCGAGTCAGGACCTGCACAGGACTAACACCTGATAACACCCTAGAAGGCAACCTATTCATTAAATAAGCAGAGGTCAGGCAACTTTCCCCCAATAAAATTTAGGAACATTCATTTTAAAGCGTAATGCTCAGGTGATTTCAAGAAGATGACGATTTTTCCTTTCAGCAACCCTATTTTGTTGTGGAGTCTTGACACAAGTCAACTCTTGAACAACACCATTAGTTTTGAGAAAATTGTGAAAATTTTGGTTTACATACTCCTTACCATTGTCTGACCATAACCTTTTAATAGGTTTCTCAAACTATGTTTTAACCATTTAAAAAAAGTTAACAAACAATTGACACACTTCAAACTTTTCTTTCTAAACCCATGTAACCCGAGTACAGTCATCAATAAAGGTAACATACCATTTCGCACCAGAAATATTAGAAATGGATGAAGACCCTCATACATAAGAATGAACAAGATCAAAGGGTTCGACACTCCTAGTATTACTAGGGGAATAGGTTGTTCGATGGGATTTGGCAAACTAGCACACATAACAATGAAAGGAATCAACAAACACTTTGGTAAATAAGTGGAGGAATAGAGACTTGAGCATGTGGAAAGGAGGACGTCCAAGACGCCTGTGTTGGAGTCATATTTGAGTTTTGCCCATGACTTTAAACCAGCCTGATGACACTTGTTTTCCTTAAGGGCATATAATATAACATGTTCTGTTCCTCAGCAATTCCAATCGTCTTACCTATGACAAGGTCCTGAAAAATACAATGAGAATGAAAAATGGTTACAATACATTTCAAGTCTTTAGTGAGTTTATGGATGGACAAAAGATTGTTAGAAAGCTTAGGGACATGAAGCACATCATTTAGGTGGAGAGATGGGCTTAGGCGGATGTTACCAGATCCGATAATCGGGGTTTGGGTCCCATTTGCAACGGTAATATGGCGTTTATTAGGTAAAGGTGAATAAGAAGAGAGATATGACATATATGGAGTCATGTGATCAGTTGTATCGGAGTGAATAATCCAGATATCTTTAGAACAAGAGGCATTAAAAGCTAAGAAGCTAGAGTTCTTACCAGTCATGGTCAGAGAACTAGTGTTAGAGAACTTACTCAAGGAGTCCATAAAGAGAAACAAACCGTCTCGAGCTAAGAGAGGATCGAGATCTACTGTTAGGAGGGGACCGAAGGATTGCCAATGAGAAACACCAACAAATATGACAACCAAACAATCAAGGGCTGCAAACAGCAAGAAACATATGAACAACAATGAAGGTTCTACTGAAAAAAACGGATGAAGGTGAAAAACATCCGGATCTGCAACGACGGTTGAGCGGTGCATGACGTCTGCAAAGTCACCGAGATCACTAGGGTTCCAAGAAAAAGGAAACCTTGACAAAAAAAAAATCGTAATAAGAACGACTAGTGTTTTGAGCGCAGAAGCAGAGCCCCTAAAATCGGGTGCTCTGATACCATGTAAAAATATGAAAAGTTTTTATATGATTTGTAAAGAATACATAAGAGGTATTTATAGACTAGACATCTATCTAAATAAGGATAATTATTCTCCATATAAATACTAATCTAGTCATAATGAGCTGTACAGGACAGCAACTCATAATGAGTTGTATGATATTCAACATATTCTAATAATAACAATACTAATATTACAACACTGGTTTCTAACTTCAAGTTTTCTATTCTTTAATATTTTGGATTTTAGCTTCTGAGATTTTTATTTAACTCTACATGTCATCTTGTTTGAATTATGTTTTATTCCTAGAACTCTTTAGTCGTAATAAAGGATTCAGAAGTTATGAACAAACTTACTTCAACAAATTGTTTAATTCATGTAAAAGTAAATTTTATCACACCTTTTTTAAGGAAACATATATAATATAGATCTCACTGAAAAACAGGCTTTAGTGAAAAGAAGACATTAATATCAAAGTGGTACAACAAGCACTCATTTAATTAATGTCAATGTATTTGTTGCTCAAGACACGTTAATTTTTAATGTTCCCTAGTATCAGTATCTTATCCTTTACCTTCTTATTTGATTTTGCACTCTTTGGCCAATTTATGGTAAGCTGAAACTGCAGGTATATTTCCACTAGTGCAATTCAACATAAGTTCCATGATTTTTTAGTAACAATAACATGTATCTTGGTTGTGTATTAATTTATATAAGGCTTTAAAGTAGTCATCATTTTTTAATGAATTTCGTCTTCTATTACAGTTTATGCCCTTGGAAAGCTAATGATTTCAAAGAAGATGAAAGCAAGCTATCTGCTATTACAAGGTCTTTATTTTCTTTAAGGCTTTCTATTTTATACTACTAGCTTTCTAATTAATTCAATAATGTTTTGGTAGTATTTTCTAGTTTTTATTTATTGACTAGAACTTGTAATTTTGTGTAGATTGACAATGAATGTATGGCTAATAGACTTGGTACCGGAGCTCCGTAGATAATGTGCAACTGAGAAGATCCTCTTGATTCTGTTGTAAGTTCAACTGAATCTTTTTTTAATAAGATTAAGATGAATATAAGATAGATTTAACTTGACTATATGTTGCTTCTAATCCTCTTTTATGCTTGTAGGTTTACCGAGTTTGGAAGTCAAGTACCTCACCGATCTGCAAAAGACTTGGCATTTTCAGTTGCAAGATTTATACCAAAAAGAGGATAGTTTGTCAATAATTTCATGGTGGCTTCATTATTTCAGGCAATTTAGTCAGGTTATTGGGCTGATTTTATTTTTGAGCCCAAAAACACATTTTGAGGATTTAGTTTTTAAAATTAAAATAATAGAGACCAAAAAGAATATAAATACAAATTAACGTATAAAAAAATAGAAAGTTTGCAATTTTAATGGTAATCTCATAAATTCAGCAGTATATAGAGACTAAAGCAGACTCAGTAACGTAAATCCTTCAAATAACTCCATTTTGGTTGCCACATCAATCCTACATAGAGAAGAGAACAAACAAAATTCAGAACCAACTTAGGTGTATAAATGTATATAAAATATGAGGAGTTCTTATTGGTTATCAATTAAATTTAATTTTTTTTTTAAATTTAGAAATACATAGCTGCGAAATTACCTGCGGATTTTTATCCTACGAAAATTTTTCCCGGATTTATAAAGTATGTGGAGTTCTTATTGGTTATCAATTAAATTTAAATTTTTTTATAAATTTCGATATACATTAGCTTTGGAATTACAAGCGGATTTCTTGTTTTGGTGAATTTACCTACAAATATTTTTCCTGCGGATTTACGTATAGATTTTAAATTATCCACGAAGGTTCAGAAACGGCAGGAAAAACGTAGAAAACAGATTTCCTGCGGATTTTTAGCTCAATATCCGTGTGGGTATCCGCAAGTAAATTCGCAGGAAAAAGCAGTATTTCTATTAGTACCCACTCCATATCCGTGTGGGTATCCGTGGATTTTGAAATACCCGCATATATTTACGAGTATTCATGAATATTATTTAAATATTTTTGTTAAAAAAATATATAATAAATTAAATTTGTTTATCACTTTTAAAGACAAAAAAAAAAAATTTCAAATTTAACACATAATAATAATAACAAAAATAAATCACATTTATTTTATTTCTTCTTTTATCAAATAATTATATTAGATTCATCAAAATAATAATAATAATAATATTATTATATTTAACAAAATAATAATAATAATAATAATAATAATAATAATAATAATTTTAGATTAAATACATTAATATTTAAGTAATTTTTTTAATTATTAAAGGATATGGATATCCGCGGATACGTGTACTATCAAATTCGTATTCATAAATAAACAGACAATTATCAAATTCAAAAATTATTTTAAATAATTTTTACAAAATAAAAAGTTAAAAGTTAATAAATAAATTAAAAATTAAAAGTTAAAAACAATTATTAAA